CGATACGCGTAGAGAGCGCGCGCCACAATGTCATTCGCCGACAGATTGGCACGATTGGCCGATTACAGGGCCTACATTACAGAAATGTACACAGCTTTGCTGGAGCGGCATCATGGCCACTGTGTCGTGTGCGTCGTCCCGTCGAGTCGGGCAGAATAAAAATGCAGGCACCATATATGGCGTGGTTCTCCAGTGAACTCTATGCTTGCGTTGGTCCCATAGGCCCGCCCCATATCCGAAAAATGTTTCAACCAAAAAGGCAACATGCTGGCATGCCGCAACCTTTCGTACGAAAACGTGAATGGACTGTAGTGGGCGCGGGCGTAGTTCCTTTACTGATTTGTTCCAAATGTGATGAAATTGTGACCTGGTAGGACGCACCTGACGTCGGCATTGTGATTAAACGAGATAGAAGAAACAAGAAACGCTACCGGATATTTTGTCCTGTCCAGCCACATACCGGCGCGGCAGGAATGTGCAGCTAAAGCCTAAGCCCCGGCCCCGGAGGGAATGCCGGACGTGGACGTGGGGCTGCGGCCGACAGCAACCCCATCCCACCACACCGCCGCGTCGCCCACTCTGCCCAGAAGAGCCGAGGAAGTGGCTGGATTTTTGTGGGAGTTAAGTTGGGGTCCTGTGCGTGAGCGGGCCACACAGTACCGCACCCCCTCACCGGCCAAACCACCCTCTTACCTACCAAACCCACACACCACCACTACGCCCGCTCTTCTAGCAAAGGGCTCTCTCAGTAAAGCAATGACTTTAATTTTTTTTAAGTGTGGGGCCGAGGGGGGGGGGGCAGGGGCCCTATTAAAAGTCTACAGCATTGCTTTGTAGTTACAACCAAGGATTTTCTTGGTAAGCTACGAATGAAACAGCATCACCGCCGTACTACAAATAACGGGCGTCGTAGCATTGAAAGCACTGCTTTGCAATACGAAAAAATATTTGTAAGACAAAGAATGTAATACGAAGCAATCCCTCGTAATACAAAGCAATTGGATTAATTGTAAAGCTTACAAAGGAAACACTTTAAAAGCTTTCAACAGTGAGGGAAGAGAAGTCAAGAAGAAAGGCCAACCACCACCCTGTTCTGTCTAAGAGTCATCAACTCCAGGGGGAGTCGATCGAAGGAAATTTCCATCCCCGGCCTGAGCTGTCCAACTCGCGACCGGACTCCACAAGAGCTCAATTCTATGTCACTTTCATCGACGAGAAAATCGACACGACATGCAAAATGTGCCCCCACACCTTCAACCAGTTTCCCGAAAGGGGCTGGTCAAGTCAAAGCTGGAGGCTTTAAATTACTCTACGCGTATTCTACGGCAAAACCAAACTGACAATTTCAATAATGGAGTTGGAAAATCGTGGAAATGGGAAGATGACTACTAATTGACATGTGTTGGGTAACATACTACACTGCAGGTTGTGCGAGTTAGTGTAACTTTTCTTACTGGGTATAGGAACCGACAGAAACGGTTTGCTAGATGCCTGCAGATACACACTGATAAATGATGTCAGTTTCAGAATGATGTAATATTTTCATGCAAGGAATTGTACAATGATCAACCCAAGTTAAAAATTTCCCCCCATAAAAACATTTTTAAAAATCCATGAAAGTGCGCAAACTACCCCCGTATAACATGCAAATGGATGATTGTGTGACGCATTTGATTACAATTGTAAAAAAAGAAAAAATATCACGTTTTCACTTTGAAAAATAAAACAATGTCACAATAATTTTAGTAGAGAATATAATCTATTTGCCTTGGTTTGTCCTTCGGATGGCGCAATCCTCGGCAGAACAACGCGGCTGGCGAGCTGACCTGCCGCCCCTGCAGAACTCACCTGTGGCGTGGGCGTTGCCGTTGAGCCCGTTCACGTCCTTCTTGGTGGGGGAGATCATGATGGCGGTGGCGCCGGGCGTGAGGGTCTGTGCGTCGTCGTCCTCCTCCTCGGCGGCCACTCGGGCGGCGCTGCTGTCCTGGGCCTGCGCGGCGGCAACAACAACAACAAGCAGTCCGTCAGCAGGACGCACGGCACGACGACGGGAGCGTGTTTTGGGCGACGCGCTAGAGCAGACGACGCGGACTCGGACACGTACTCGACGACACTCGCTCGCTCCCCCGGGTCTGTGCTGCTACGCGATGTCGTCGCCCGCTCTGCCGTCCGCCAGCACCACCACTGCCAGACTGGCGGCGCGCGGAGCACAGCCCGGCCCGGGGGCCACCCGTGTATCTCCGCTTCTCTACTCCTCATCACTCTCTTCGTCGCACTCGCACTCCTTGCATCTCTCGCATTTCAATATGCTGCCTTTCGTCTCTCCTTTACTCCCTCTTCCTCTGTCTATCGCACACTGTGTGAGTGTGATTGTACGTGTGT